AAAAAAAAAAAAAAAAAAAGAAATTTTTTATTCATTTTACGTACCAATCACAGATCCCCCTCTTCCCTTCTCCTGCCCCTCCATCCTCCCCCACAACCGACCCCCCATTCCCTCCTACAAGAAGGTAAGGCCTCCCATGCGGAGTCAGCAGAGCCTGGTACATTCAGTTGAGGCAGGTCCAAGCCTTACCTCAAGGCTGTGTGAGGTGTCCCACCATAGGTAGTCGGCTCCAAAAAGCCAGCGCTAGGGAAGTTCTCGGGTCATTTCTAAGGGCTTGGGGAAAGTGTGGGCTCCCACTTTGGAAGCCTCTGAATGGGTAGCAAGGTATCAGGCGTGGTGACGCACACCCACAGTCCTAGCCCTTGGGAGGCAAAGCAGTGGCTCTAATCCTGGGCTACATAGTGAAATCCAGGCTAGGAAAGTTATATAAGCAAACAGACAGACAGACAGACAGACGGACAAGTAAGCAAGCTGATACCAAAGGAAAGAACAACAGTATAAGAGTTGCAAGGAAATCTGGGCCTGGTGGTGCACGCCTGTAATCCCCGGACGCAAGAGGCCGAAGGGAGTCTGCACAGTCTAGGCCACCATGAGGACATTCTGAGTTCCAGGCCAGCAAAAGCTCCAGTGATCCCTTCCCGCAAACACCACCACCGAACCAGCCAATCACCACCGAAAACAAAGCTGTGGCAAGGAAAACACAGCTGTACCCAAGACTCACTGCGGGTAGCAAATTGGAAAATCCCACTGTCCCAGTTTCTCGGAGGTTTTTATGTTCTCTTCCAAATGGGCTCCACAGAAGAACATGAAGATTTTAGATGGCATCGCGGCGGTTCCCAAGGCAGGGAGCGACTACTGATAAAGTCACAGGCCTCGGCCGGCCGTTGTCTTTCTGCGCAGCTTCACGTGCTGACGGAGTAACCGTCTTAGCAAACATTACGCCACCGACTACGTAACTTCCATCACGTGAAAAAGGCAAAAGTTTCCTGACTGTGAATGGTAGGAAAAAGAGTCGTAGTCTTCTGTCCAAATGCACTTCTGAGGCAAAAGGTCAAAAACAAACCTCACAGCTCTCAGCTAGAATAAACAGATTTAGTCTGTTGATGCTAGTGGGTGCCGTGGGGGTACTCCGGGAGCCATGGCCACGGCCACGGCTCACTCCTACCTCCAAACACACTTCTAGGAGACCTGGTGAAATGAAAGTGAACGAATATTCCACCGTTCCTGGTGTTTATTAAAATGCCCCCAGGAATTCCCTGCAGAGACCTGCTTAAACAAAACCAATGAGCGAGACACCCATTTGATGCACAGTGCAGGGCTGAACTTGGGAAGCAAAATGTAAGTGACATAGGCCAGAACATGTCTGAGCACCCCCCCCCCCAAAAAAAAAGACAAATCACTTAAAACATCCACTCTCTAAGCTTTCTTGGTGTTTGTTAGTTTCAAAGCATGTATTATTAATCCATCACTCACTCTACCTCAGTCTCACCCTCTTACTTCAGTGGCACAACACTGTCAATGCATAAAAAGGTAATATTGGATTCTGTTGCAGACAGACTTCTGCTCACTGCTGGGCCTGCTTATTGCCAAGGTTTCCCGAGGCTGTCTATCTAAATGGCTTTAAAAAAATTAAGGCTTATATTTCTCTCTTGTCAATTTCAATCTGAAGTGTGCAAATGTCTTTTAACAACAGCCAGTTGTTGATTGGCAGAACAGGTTCACGTAGTCACATGGCCGAATTTCCTCCTCTGTTTGCAGGGATTTCTTCCCTATGGTCCAGCTAGAAGCCCTCCCTCTGTGCGTGGGTGCGTGCGTGCGTGCGTGCGTGCGTGCGTGCGTGCATGCATGCATGCGTGCATGCGTGCTACCAGAAAAATGTAGGAACCCCCTAACCAGGCATGATGGCACATGCCTGTAATCCCAGCCCTCAGGAGGCAGTCTTGAGGGCCGATACAAGTTCAAAGCCATCCTGCTCTACATAGCTAGTTTGTGTCAGTCAGAGCTACATTGTGAAACCCTGTTTCAGAAAACCCAATGAACAAAATGTAGGAACCTACTATAAGAGGGATATATGTATGCTAATGGTCTACAGAACCGTCCTCACGAGGCTGAGTCTTAGTGAGGCTAACACTGTAAGGCTGATGGTGCGTCGGGGAAGCCCTAACATTTTACTGTTGGGGGCTGCAGAGGTGATGACTCAGCTGTTCAAGGATAAAGCTCACAACCAAAAAAACCTCAACGGAATGGTCTAGGCGCCTTGGTCATCCGCAACTTTCCTTTGTGTCTTTCCTTCTTTCCGCCCCCGCCCCCTCAGACAAGCATCTGTGTGATCCTGAAGACTTATGGAGGAAGGATGGAGGGCCACTTTTCTGACATTGTCCAGTTGGTGACTCTTGCTCATCGCCACCAAAGTGGAATTTTGGGAGGCAATGGCGAGTCTAGGCTGAAATAAAGTCTTCAAAAGGAATCAGCTGTAGTAAGGGAGAGACAAAGGAGGGGGAGGGGAAATCCTGGAGCAAAATGTTTTCTTCCCGTTTCTCCCTGCGCCGGGCAAGGGGGAGACTAAGCCATCTCCCTTTAACGGCACTAATTGTTTGCCTTATCACAATAATCAAATGCAGCCATATTAATCTCTCTGGTTATTAACTTGATTTTTACACATTAAGATTTAGATTTAATCCCCCAGGACCGTCTATTAATGCTTTTAAAGTTGAGGGGTTTCAGCAGTTTTAAGTTCTTTCCTTTCTTTTAGCTGCAGGCAGTAAAATTGGAACGTGCGCAGAGTTTTGTATTTCGCGGTCCTGGGGGACTCTCGGAGACAGTGCTGTCGAGGACCATGAATCGTGCTAATACAGAGAGCAGCCTCTCCAGCTATTAAAATGTCTCCAACAATGTGATTATTTTAAAATGGAAAAACTAATATCACATGTGTTACTTAAAGATCAACTATTCTTTGAAAGTCACAGAGAGAATGCATTTGGACTTTTTTTTTTTTTTTTTTTAAATCAAATTGTTTCTGCATGCTGCCAAAAATGTGAACTGTCTCAGCTCCAGGGAAGAAAACTTCCAGTGCCTTTTACAGAATACCTCCTTACTTGAGCAACGGGTCAGCAGAGCATAAAAATGGCCAAAAGGCCAGGATCAATAAGCATGAAAAACTGTTTTATTTCTGTTTGAGCAAGTTGTAGCGACAATGGCCTGCCGAAACTGTCTCTGGCTTTGTGCTATCATAGCCGCAGAAAGATGACATCCAAGCAGAAAGTGGAGCAGACCACTGTGATGGACAACGGTGTGAGCATTGCTGCTGGCCTCCTGTTGGCTGAGGACTCAGCCTGCAGGATTCAAAGAGGTTGTTATGTAGGGAGGTATGTAAGCCAACATTACCCAGGGCGTCTTGTGAAGCACTTGTGTTGTAAGCACACAGAAAGCATAAGATCACTTCTTTTTCTCATTGCTTTTAAACTGATGTAGATTTCTTGATTTCTGTGCTGATCGAAAATAAAGACCACTAAAAAAACATGTGCACTTGTTCTGAATGTCTCATAGTAGGACCAAATCATACTGCAGACTCATAAATGATCAACATTTTTGAGATTCCATAGCAATTTCTCTTACTCTTGACATTTCTTTCTTTTTTTCCCCCTATTTTATGTGTGGATGTGTGGGTGTGGGTATGGATGTGTGGGTGTGGGTATGGATGTGTGGGTGTGATTATGGATGTGTGGGTATGGATGTGGGGGTGTGGATGGGGATGTGTGGGTGTGGATGTGTAGGTGTGGATGGATGTATGGTGAATGTGTAGGTGTCAAGAGGAGGCCAGAAGAGGATGCCCTATTCCCTTGAGGCATGCCTTCCCACTGAACGTGAGCTAGGCTAGTAGCTGCTAGCCCTGTAATCCTCCTCTCTCTGTCTTCCCACAGGGCTGGGTTACAGATGTGCCTCTCTCTGCCTTCCCACAGGGCTGGGTTACAGGTGCACATATGATCATTCCTGGCTTTTTATATGGTCCTGGGGATTTGAACACAGACTCTCACGCTTTTACAGCAAGTGTTTTTACCCACCGAGTCATCTCCCTAATCCTTGAACTCTCTGTCTCTCTCTCTCTGTCCCTCCCTCCCTCCCTTTCTCCATCCATTCTCCATGAGTGTAGTGTGCATACTATTATGTATATTTTATATTATAAGGATATTTTATGTTCTAACATTGTAGTAGTTCTTATCTGAGAATAAAAAGCCACAATCAATTTTTTTTACTTAGGCACAATTATATATACCATGTTTAGAGCAGTGTTATGCGTAACTATCGTCTATTGAAAAGGCAGAAAGATAGAAGTGTTTCACATTTTCCCATACTCTGAGGTATATCAGCCCTTTTGACATTTTCTTAAAGCACTGGGTATGTTCTGAAAGGTAGGACCACGAACCCTTTCAATTCTTAGATTAAAAACTTGCATCAGCGGCAGTCTGTCTCCTGGAACTGAATGATAGGCACGTTAGTTGCCCTGTGGATCAAAGCATTGACTCCAGTGTCGTTTGCATTACCTATGGACCAGTCCCTGTGAAGCATGCGGGAAGGTGAAGAAATCAGGATAAAGGGCATGAAGCGCTGTTTGAGTCACCAGAAGAGCTACACGCAGCCAGCACCTATCTGTGCAGACGTCGTTGATGGCTCCAGTGCATGCAGCTCAAACCCTACGCAGTCACCCGGAGTAATCCACCATCGAACAGTTTCAGGGAGTGAAATCCCCTAGAAGCGTCCCAGGCCATTGTGGCTCTTAGAGTAATAATGAGGAAGGAGAAGCAGAGCTGAGGACATTCTTTGTCTCTTTCAACAGATCCTCAACCAGTTCTACAGGTGTGAAGACGACAGAGCCACCTTGTAATAGTTCCCTGCCGCTTTTCACTATCACTGAGGTACGGCCTCCCTTCCAATGTGGTCTACTCTGTGTGTGTGGCAGGGGTGGGGGGTGGAGTTCGGAGCCAGGGTAGAGGTTATGAACCTAGCAAGCCTCAGAGAAATGACCATTTGCTGATTCAGAGTCTGCATCAAGAGGACCTCTTATGTCCACACTCTAACTCCGCAAGCTTGAGTATCATTGAGTAGAGAAAGGATGTAGGGGAGGTTGCTCACCCTGTTTGAAGTCACATGAACTGTAGAGATGAGATGGGACCTCAACCCTAAACCAATCAGAGTCTCGAACCCATGTTTGTTCTATGGCCTCTTGGTGGATTTAAGGCAGGTCTGAGGTTGTGACACTTATGCTCAGGGCTTTAAGGTTCTTAGCTGATGGTCTGAGCAGGAACAGACATGAGATTTTCTCCAAAGCCAGTCCTGCCCCTTATCACTGACCTTAGATAAGTTGCTCATAAATTATCACTCATTAGTAAAGAGATACACAAGAATGATGGCTGTTTCTGAAGCACAGACATGATGCCAGATACGATCTGGGTGCCACAAAACAACAAATGCCACAATAGTTGGAGGTTAAGTGTGATTGTCCTTAAATGTGTGAGAGAAACAGAGTACCAGGAAAGCTCAGAGATCAGGCGCTGGTATGAAGCTCAGACTAGTCCAGGCTTCTGTCCCGAGGCTCAGCTCTACTCCTCTCAAATATTGTAGAATGTCTTTGAGTGTCCCTATTTTTAAGATAGTTGGTGAGGGTGAGCTTGTTAAGACTGAGGACCAACTCCCTCTGCTATTCTAGATGAGTCAGCAGTGGACAAGAAGGGTTGATACTTCCATCTTGACCAGAAAACATAAGTAAAAAGTTCTCCAGGGTCTCCGTAAGCCCTCCATGCCATGCTGTTTCTGTCCTGATTTCCACTTCTCTCTAGGATTTCTCACCTTCTTTAAGTCTTCTATCAAAACCACTAGACATGCGGCATGTTACATCTATTTCTCTGATTTGGAGTCTCCATGGCATCAGAACAGGGGCCATACTTTGTTCCCACCTCTGCCAGTACTCATTCCCCCATGAGGCTGAGTAGCTGTCCAAATTCTACCTGAACTTCACACTCATTCACTTACTAAGTATTTTCCAGGGGTACCCGGAAGCATCTGGTCTAGACTTCACTAAGCTTTCCTTCTGCCATACCTGGTTGAGCCACATTTTGCTGTGATCATCTCCAGACCCTGTTTACATCTCAGGTAAGTAACACAGTCCCTGAGCCCTAGCCTCTTATGAATTGTGGCTGATGGGTGGGTGATGGTAATAAACATTGTTTTGATGCTTCCCTTGTCCCAGTGTCTGTAGGTTAAAGCAAATTAACCTCATCTGCATGTGGTGTTCCCTGACCTCATTGCTGATGGATGAGTGAAAAAGAAATGGCCCAGCGAATATGGAAAATCAGCATCGGCAAATGATTTAAATGTAACAGTTAGTAACCTGTCCTTTTCTCACAGACTGGGGAGTGAGTTCAATAAGCTCGTGGGTGAGAAGTAGGCCTTACATTCAAGTGACCCACCACCCATGCGGCTCACTGATCTCTTCAGCTGCCACCCTGAGTAGAGTCTTGCTGTTCATCTACTGGAGGGATGTCTGGGAGCTGCCCTTATTTTTGAGGGGCGATGCCCAACTTGGGCAAAAAGTTTAACTTTTACTCGAAAAAAGAAAAACAGTCAATGAAACCAAAATAAGACAACGTGGGTGAGCCGCCATCTTTCCTTTCTTCTGCGTTCCTTTCTCCGTCTTCATAGTATTCTCTCTTCACACGTCTTTTTCCAGACAAACGGGTCTTATTCCTAGCCTGTAGCTGGCTGTGTTCTTCATGTGGAGTCTCCCCGTCTCCCATAATGTCTCATCCGTCTCTTATTCCCCAGCATCTTACTGCACCCGGTTTACACGCAGGGTGTTGTCATGGTTCTGTTTGTTTGATTGCTTGTTTTTTAGGTAAGGTCTTGCTGTCAGGGCCCAGGATGGCCTGGTACTCTATGATCCTCCTGCCTCAGCCTCCCAAGTGCTGGAAGTGCCAGCATGTGCCATCGTGCCAAGGTCATGATGTTCTATTTTTAAAAAACAGTGGTTCATTCTCAGAGTCAAGGCTTCACACCAGCAGGAACTCATCTCTGGGAAGAGGAGCACACTCTTGAACCTTATGGGAACTACAGGTTGAGAAGGTTGCCTCTTATCAGTCTTCAGGTAATGCTGATTACTCTGTGGGTCGAGCTACTTTCAGGTTATCTCTGTCTCTCTCAAGCTACTCACGCCTATTGGTTTCTGACTTCCCATCTGTTGAGGCCCACCTAAAATCCACGTCCCTGAAGGAGGTTGGTGGCAGAGCACACACTGGAATGAAAGACGACACATGACTTGGGACAGCAGTTCCCAGATGCCCAGCGATGTAACATGAGCAAAGCATTTAGCTCTTTAAGCCTCACCATCACTATCCAAAAACAGGATGACACCCTCGTTACTGTATTCTGGAGACAGAATAAAAATGGGCTAACTGAGATTTTGTGGGCTGTGTGAGAGGTTGTTTTTTTTTTTTTTTAACTTATTAATTGTTCATTTACAAACCGTCTCCTAATGACTTCAGGAGCACTACAGCGTTCACTAGATCAATTAACCACAAATTTTAAAATTGCTAACTATATATTTTCTGTGATGCTGAATACTTTCTACTGTTTTCATATGGAATTTCCATTCTGTTTGCTGCCGCCTGACCTCAGGGGAGGTGGGGTGCCTCAATACTGTTTGAAAGTCGTTTTTTAAATTATACAGAAAATTAGCTGAAATAAACCAATAAAAATTGCTTAGTGCTACTTTATCATTTTCATGGAATTACAATGGATTACAAGAGAGATTCCATGTGTCCGGAAGAACACTATGGCTTGAGATGAAACTCAGTGGCAGGATACTTGCTCAGCATCGACCAAGCCTTGGATTTGATCCTCAGCATAGCAAAAGTAAAGTAAGAGAACAGAATGTCCGACTTCTTTACTTCCTTTTCTATCCATGTTTGCGGCCTCTGCGTGCCTACCACCACGCAGATGTTTTCCTGTTGTTAGTGTCCACAACAGAAGGAGGTCAGCAGTCTTTTGAGCACACTCATCTTGTCTTTGTCTTGCTTAAATTTATGCTTAAATACTGACTTGCATCAAGGCTAATTTTAAAGGAGTTATCCACATTTAATTTTGTCCTTCCAAGTTCCCTCTTTCCCGTCTCAGGACACACCATTTTTTCAGGAGGCTAATGGTTAGGGTTCATCATTTAGAGGAAGAGTATGACAGGGCAGACTGTCTCTTGCTTTTATTTTAATTCAAAACTCTTGGAGAATTTAATATTGAAACAGATAAAATATTTGATTAAGAAAAATAGACTTTTCCCCTTGGATCTAAACACAGCTTCCTTCAGCCTGGGTTAACAACAGAATGAGCAGATGAAGAGCAGAGGCCATTCGTACCAAAGACAGGAAGTGGACAGGTTTGGAGGCCGTTGGATCAAAAAGACTCTACAGTCTACTTCCCTATGCATCCGCGTCCGCAGTACTGTGAGCCCCGGGGGCGCTTGTGGCCGTCTGTAGGCTGAGGGGATCCTGAAGACCCCGCAGAGCTCCCAGGTGACCCAGCCCTGTGGGGTGTTCATAAACAGTAGCATTGGAAGAGGAGAGACAAGCAGTAATGGTGACATCGCAATGTCGGTCTCCGTGATGCAATGTCCCTCAAGTAACGAATGAGAGGAAGAAGGGACGGATCCCTCAAGGATCCTGTGAGACCATGTTCATCTGCCTCACAGGGCTCTGCAGATTGTAGAGGAGATCAGAACTCCCAAGACAGCCAAGTTTCTGCTCCTCTCACAGAATGGATGCACAAATAGAAGTTAATTGGAATTTTCTTTACACACCTGTGAAGGACTTAATTCAAAATTACAAGTGTGGTTTCTACCAGTTGTATCACTGGGTGTTTAAATATTGTATATGTACACACACACACACACACACACACACACACACACACACACACGCATTATTCTGGAAACCATCTCAGTTGGCTGTCTTGTCCTTCCTGATGCATACTTCAGTCTCCTGTCTCCACAGGCGTGTGTTTAGCCTACTATTTCTGATGCACCTTTCCACGTGACTACAGGCATCTCTGCACCACAGACACCTTGTGAGACACTCCTGGGACCATTTCAGTGGGATTTGACACAACTGAAATATTGCCAGCTGACTCTTATCTGAAGATCCAATTTTTACTCAGTTACCTATACTTCAAGCTTTCATTTTCCTTTATAATCTCCTGAAAGACTTAACTGTCAGCCAGTTTATGGGATGATTTCCTAGCTTTTCAGTATTTTCTCTTCTCTGGTAACATGATTTTTTTTAATGAGTGCTCTCCCTAGGGAATTAATTATTACCTTGAAGAGTATATTCACATAGTTCCATCAAGACATCTTAAAAATTATCAAACCCTTGACAGACACACTGTGTAGCTTTTAAAACTCAATTCATGTGTGTGTAGGATTTTTCCCAACTCCACTGAATCAGAAAATTTTATTTATTTTATTTATTTCTTCTGACTTTCAACTTTCTCTCTTACTCTGTCTTTGTTAAGTAGAGAAAGCAAATTCTTTAGCTGCTGTTATCTAATGGGCATGTGCTGGAGCACACGGACTTACGTAGTTCTGGGCATGTGCTGGGGCCCACAGAGTTATATATTTCCCAGGCTATGCCGGAACACACAGACTAATGGTAACTCTGAGTGAGATGAAACCTATTGCATGCTTATGGCTTCTCATCACTGCACAGCCTAAGTTTTGTGGAGATGAGGCACATTATCTGTCAACTTGATGGTTAATAATGATTGTCAATTTGACAGGATCTAGAATCTCCTAGAGTCATACCTCTGGGCACGAATTTTAGTCTGGATTAATTGAGGTGAAAAGACACTCTCCAACTGTGAGAGGCTCCAGTCCCTGTGTTAGGGTCTGGGCCTGAATGAAAACGACTGTGAGCTGACTACCAGCATCCACCTCTCTCCAATTCCTGACTAACTGTCTCTTGTTCCTGTCGTCACAGCTGGAGTTGCTTTTATGGCACCCACCATACAAGCAGGCATGCACCCACACACTATGATGGACTGTACTCTCAGACTGTAAGCCAAACTGAAACCTTCCTCCCTTAAGTTACTTTTGTCATAGCAACCAGAAACAGTAAGACTGATTCAGTCGTTGTGATTTGGATACAAAGTATCTTCTCAAAGGGCCCACTTCTAAAGGCTTACTTCCCAGTTGCTGAGGGTCTTGAAGATGCAGTTGCATTACAAGAGTGCTAACCTTATTAATGGGTTAATCCATGATGAGTTCCTGGCTGAATGGGCTGTTAAGAAGTGAGAGTACCATGGGAGAGCTGTCCCCGTTATCTGCCATGTGGAGGCATGGTCGGGGTAGAGTCATGCTGTTGTGTCCCTCCTCAGCTGCAGCAGTCAGGAGAGTGGCTACTACACCTCTCCTGGGCAACACAGTAGAGCTGGCCCTGAAGGTGTAGGTGTAGGAGAACCGATCAGGACTTGAAAGCAGGCGAAGTGACCCCACCCCTTGCTCATCACTGCCAAGGGTGAACAAGCCAGGACAATGCTGGAGAGCTCACTGTGATGGTGAGGACAAGGGAGAGCTGTCAGGCTGACCAACCCTTCAACTACGCAGGACCAGAACCAGAGTTAAGTGTTGGCTCATCCCAACATCCACCCCATCTGTGATCTGCTGGAGCACAGGTGTGTGTGTGTGTAGGGGGGTGGGGTGGGGGTTCTGTGGACCTAGGGCTGCAGGGTCTTCATGAAACAGGGTAGCAATGGGATGTCCAGGAAGAGTCCCAGTGGGGGCTATGTGTGGATGATGCAGCAGAGACCAGGGGAGAACCAGACCAATGATTCTTTGTAATGAATGCCTACAGGTAAAGATGTATGGATAAAGGGGGTTTACTTTGTGACTCACTGTATCACACTGCAGCTTCCCTGAGATGTCCCCTTTCTTCCTTTTTCCCCTCCCACTTTTTAGCTTAAATTTGGGGGAGGGTGAGAAGATTGCAGGGGCAGAGGATGGATGGGAGGGGACGGGAGGTAGGTGGGATCGGGATGCATGATGTGAAAGACACAAAGAATAAATGTAAAAAGAAAGTTAAAATAAATTAAAAAACATTAGAAAGAAAACTTTAGGAGTACCACACCAAAGGGATCATTTTTGAACGGGTGTCTTATTCCTGCCTCTTTCACATCTCACTTACCGCTTCCTGGCTACTGTGAGAGGATTGGCTTTCCTCCAGTGTGCCCTTCTTCCAGGTGTTTCTACCTCACCAGAGACTAAAAAAATGGGGTCAGTAGACCATGGATTGAAATTTCTAAAACAATGAGCCAAAATAAATACCATACTTTTAAAATAATTTCTCAGGATAAGGTAAGGCCGGGGAAGCTAACATAGTCTTTGTGTCCAGTTTGTAGAGCAGTTCTTCACTGAGACACAATGGCCCTCCTCCAGCTAACCACTCCTAAGAGGAAATACCACTGAAGGACAGGAATGTTTCAGTCTCCACCAGGCTTTCTTTTAGGCCACCAACCAGCTCCCAAATTATGACATGGAGTCTTAATATTTGCTATGAGTGCTCGGCCTTATCTTATGCCTGCTTCTTGTTAGCTCTTATATCTTGACCTGTTTCTCTTCATCTACATTTTGCCTTGGGCCTTTTTACCTTCCTTCCTTCCTTTCTCTCTCCCTTCCTTCCTTCCT